TTTTAATTTCCTTCTACGAATAATATCAAAATGACGATCAGGTAAACATCCGAGGTAGAAGTGACATTAGCAGTTCCAGTTTTGTCAAAGTAATTATAATCTAGAATTTACTACAACACGGCGTTTTGTGAAATGTAGACCTGTATCTATTTAGCCCTGTGACAGCGAAAATTAGGGAACTTCTGGTGCTTAACAGGCAAAACGTTGCATATAGACATAACATTTTTCTGTTTTACATTATAAGAGTTAAAAACAAGCATTAAAATCTTGCGAAATGCTTATGTTGTATCTGACAAACTTTACATAACTGGGATATTCAGTAACAACATTATACATTAAGCCTAAATGGACAGAAAACTGTACATTTATATTCACTTATAATTCCTGTCTGGCTCCCGATATGTGAAGGCTAGAAGGTGTCATTAATTTATTCCGAAAACTTTTTGTTGCACTATTATTCATATTACGTAATGTCTTGTTTTGTCTGCGTCATTACATAACGTATCGTCGCGTATTTACACACACGCAAATAGGCCTACAGAATATGTAATTTGGCTTATACGTATCTGCTCTTGTATTGAATCCGATTTAGTTTCTAAAGAAATTTACACAGACAATACGATAATATGTGAAATTGTTCATTCGGAATGTCTCCGTCATCTAAATTATAACACTACAATACTTCGAAAGCTGGATTTAACTTCTGTCTTCAGGTGAAAATGAGAGGATGAGGTCGGAAAGCCCATCTGTTGGGCCCCCTCGTTCAGCTAGCCACAGACCAGGTCCTAGGCTAGCGTTCTGTCTTCTTACCAATTTTAATTGAAGACAGAATCAGAAATGTTTTAGTTATATAATTTTATAATTTTGACTGTAGACTGAGTTGAAAAGAATAATTTTACATACTATAACCACCATCGCGAGAAACTCAGAATTAAAATCACAAATTAAACTTCAAATTTAACGATAAAAATTTCTCTGACTTGGTCATTTTAAACCTTAAATTTACTGTTCGTATTGGTCATTAATTCAATATTTATGTACGATTTGAGGTTTTCACAGCGATGAGTATGAAGATTTCTGTCTTCTGGGTTGTTGCGCTATGTAGTCTTGTCATCATCGCCCTGATGATGGAGGCAGTATGACCTCTGAAACGTTGGTTAACATCGACCAGACTACACACCGCAACAACCCAGAAGACAGAAATCTTCAATATTTATGTTAATTCTCCATCTAGATTCACTTTATCCGTTGTTTTAAAATTGAATTGTCCCTCATTAACGAGGTCTGGTAACCACAAATAACACCCAGAAGTGGAATTAAACATG